AGAGAGGTCATCTCAATTTTACCTGTCCTTCAGCACCACACTGGCATCACACATTTGATAGTTTAAAGAGAATAAAACTCACCTTCCATCACCAGCTGAATGTCTCTGCCAAACAAAAACTTCTCTTTGGGATAGTCCAGATCTGTAGATTTGGGATGGGTGGGTGACTGCAAAGGAAACAGCATTGAGAGAGTCAAAATCAGTGGCAGAAAGATTTCTGCTAATTGATCAGGATTTTTTTGACCTTCAGTGAGTCCTAAGAGCAAGATACAGCTGGTTTTTTATAAGGAATTGGATTTCTAGGAGTTACATGTGCATCAGAATCCAGAAGGTAAATAAAGGTCAGATGCAGTTGGCCTTTGGTGATTTTATGGACCAAAGCCTTCAACTGTTTACAATAGAGTCAATCCTGTTTTCAATAATGTTAAATTACCCTTTAAAAATCGTGTCAAGGAGCTGAAAACCCTGAAAATGTGCTAATTAAGGAGATAAACTAGGTTCAGGAGGAATTCAATACCTAAGCTGTCAGTCATGAAAAAAAAAGATCCTTCAGCTTTTTTTTTCTCTGCTTTAATACTTCTGCCTTTTCCAAATGCTTATTTCTCCATGAAAGGTTGTGCTTTGCCTTTGGAAGGCTCAGCTGTGTCCCACAGCCTTTGGGGCAGCCTGGAAACATGATGTTCCATGTAGCAAGGGATGCTCCCCATGCCCAAGCCCCTCTGCCTGGGAGGATTTTCAGTGCATTTCTTTCTTCTCATGATACTGTGGAAAAAAACTACTCTTTTATGTACTTTTCTTGGTCTCAGGGGCTTCTTTCTTACCTTCCAGCATTCCTCCAGTCATTAGAGACCTGATCTTATTACAAGTGCTTCGAGGTTTGTGTAACATTTCACACCTCCCAGCCCTTGTACAAGCTCTAATTCTGCCAGCACTGCTGTGAGCATCCTGTGCTGAGTGTGACTGCTGTGTTAGAGCAGTGCTGACCAGCCTGGCCCTAACGAGCTTAGTGCTGGGGGGAACAGAGACCTCACCAAGGTCACACTGTCTGTGAGCAGCACTGAGTGTTTCAGATGTAGAGAGCAGCCAGGAGACCCATAGCTGTGTTTAGCCACACACCAGATTCCACAGCATCACAGGATCAATCAGGTTGGAAAAGACCTTTGAGATCATCAAGTCCAACCTGTGACCTAACATCACCATATCAACTAGCCCATGGCACTAAGTGTTCTCCTTGAACGCCTCCAGGGATGGTGATTCCACCACCTCCCTGGACAAATCCCTTCCAATGCCTGACAGCTCTTTCTGTAGAGAAATTCCTCCTGATGTCCAACCTAAACCTCCCCTGGTGCAGCTTGAGGCTATGTCCACTTGTCCTGTTGCTTGTCACCTTGTCCCTCACAGATAAAGGCAAGGGGAAGGTGATGATGTCCCAGGGCAAAAGCAATCTGTCATTTAACAAAAATTAAAGCTGTTGGTGGTGCAAACTATACAAGACAGATCAACAAACTGTTTTCTATCAATTCCTGTCATGAGCTCTTTAAACTATTCATTATTTGAGCAATAAAGCTGTTCAGCCATCCCCATCACTAGTTGTACCAAACCTGTAATCCATCAAGCTGTGGATGCTTTAGTTAAAATTAGCAATCCCTTCACAGCAGGACTTTTTTAACCACTAAATATGAAGCACACTATAAACATTTGTAATTGCCAACATGCACTAAATGAGTACACTGACAAGAGAGAATTACCATATGGTCACCAGCTCCTACCCAGCTGATCAGTACTACATCCTGCTGGAGTGGGACAAAGCAGCAGGGACATGGTCAGCACAAACAGTTCATAGAATCCCAGGCTGGTTTGGGTTGGAAGGACCTTAAAGATCATCTAGTTCCATGAGCAGGGACCCCTGCTACTAGCCCAGGTTGCTCCAAGCCCTGTCCAACCTGGCCTGGAACACTTTCAGGGATGAAGCAAGTTGTGAGCATCAAAAGCAGCATAAAATTTCAAAGTTGAAAATCTGACTCCTCTGGCCAAGCAAACAGCACTCAGAGCATCCTGAATCCAACCAGCTCCTAGAAATTCTTGATGTTCATCCAACACAAGCCATGTCAGTCACCTCTCCTCCTCCTCTTCCTCACAGCATTCCCTGCTTCCACTCTGGAGGAGATGGGTCGCAAGGAAGAGGATGACAGCAGCTCCTGGAAGAAACAGACGAGCAACATCCGAAAAACATTCATTTTCATGGAGGCTCTGGGATCGTAAGTACCACAGCTACTCTCTGGGCAGGGTCACCTCCAGATTCCTGTTCCCAGCCCAAGGCAGAGACTCCCTGCCTGGCACAGACCAACATCCAAAGGAAACAGCTCCCTCTGAGAGAGGTTCTGGTCTCCAGGGGAGTGTAGGAGCCTTGTCCTGCTGCATGGATGCTGTTGGTGCTCTGATCCATGGCTCATGCTTCCAAAGCAGCTCCTTCCCACCCAGCCCCAGGCACAACAGTGAGTCCACTCTGCCCTTCCCTCCATCCCCTCCAACCCTGCATGAAACCTTAGCTCAGTAAGTTTTAGCTCCATTCCTTGTCTGTGCTGCTGCAAGCAAGGTCAAGGGATGGCTCTGAGATGTGGTATCATAACAAGTCATATATTTAGCTCAGAAACCCTGACTCAGTTGAGGGATGAAACAAAAACAAGGATGTTCAAAGTTGTACAATCCTTCCCTGGGAGTTAACAGCTTAATTTGCCTATTCATGCGGATGAGACAAGGAAACATTTCCAACTTGGTGGAGGAGGAATTGAATTACCTCCACCAGGGAGTTCTGTCATGGGCAAATTTTCTGTGACTTCAGAATCCACAACAAAGCTCCCAAAAAAAACCCCAGCTACTCCAGAGCTGGGTGACGTTTTCAATGATGTCCCTTGTCAGTCTCAGAAATTAGTTCAATTACCAGCAGCTTTCTCAAAAGGAATGAGGTTAGGAAAAGCTTTGTTCTCTCCTAGCCAACTTGTTGATTCATCATTTTTAATAAGGGGCATAATTATTATAAACTGTTTGGGACAGATACATAGAACAGATGCCCCAGCAGCTGATTTGTAGGTTGTTCATTTCCTACTGTTACATTAATAGGAATATTTAGCATTAGAAATTGGGATTTTTTTTCCATCACTTCAGCTTGCTGAGAAATAGTAATTAAGAGCTGGAGCCTAAAACTAGCCCAAAACTTATTATCACCTTCCCCCAGCACCTTTAGCTGGTGGATTAGGAATCCTACAAGGATGTCCCTGAATATTCCCTGAGAGATCTCAGGGATGTGAAAGGCATTTCCATGAAACATCCTGCACAGTTTATAAGGCTGGAAAGAGACAAATGTGTGACATGAGATGAAGGTCCCAACACCACCTGTTTTAGGGGCCAGAAAAGCCCATTACATATCATTTGCTGAATGAAACAAAGATTCGAGTTCATCTGTTGGGATGCCTTCCCAATATATCATTTTCTGAATGAAACAAAGATTTGAGTTCATCTGTTGGGATGCCTTCCCAAAATATCTATGAGGATTTTAGTTTAGGGGTGGTTTGTTGGGTGGTTTGAGGGGTTTTTTTCCCTTGCTAGGAACCAGTCCTGGCACAGCCCAATTCCTCACCACCCTCATGGCCTTGCACATTGCTTTGGCAGCATCCATGGGCCACTGGGAGAGGAGAGGGAGAGGGAGAGGGAGAGGGAGAGGGAGAAAGGGAGAAAGGGAGAAAGGGAGA